AGCTCAACTTCGTTTAACAGGAGAGACAGACACCACCCGGGTTTAAATTTTATAAAGCTAGCACTACAGCCCAATCCCGCTTCGTAGGAGAATTAGACACCGTATAGGCTTTAACGCTACAATCTGAATAGTACAGCTCAATCCTATGGCGCAACCACATGGGTACCAAGCACCCTGGTAGTGGTGAAGAAAATATGGAACTCAAAACAACTTTCAACCAATATCAAAGTGAGAATCTTCAGGGCAGTTCTACTGTACGAAGCTGAAACTTGGAGAACTACAACAACCACCATCAAGAAGGTACAAGCATTTATAAATGGTTGTCTACGCAAGATACTCAACATCCATTGGCCGGATACAATCAGCAACAGCCTTCTCTGGAAGAGAACAAATCAGCTTCCAGCTGAAGAGGAAATTAGGGAAAGACGATGGAAATGGATAGGACATACATTACGCAAATCGTCAAACTGCATCACGACGCGAGTCCAAATTGGAATCCTGAAGGGAAGCGAAAAAGAGGAATGCCGAGGAACACATTACGTCGGGAAATGGAATCAGATATGAAAACGATGAATAACAACTGGAAGGAGCTGGAAAGGATTGCCCAGGACAAGGTTGGATGGAGAATGCTGGTGAGCGGCCTATGCTCCTTCACGAGGAGTAACAGGCGTAAGTAAGTAAGTAAACATATATCAGGATATTTCAGGATGATTTATGCTGTAATTAGGTGAAATGTATGAAAAATATTTAATGGTAGTCTTTTAAAACTAAATTCTAGTGTATCTAGGCTTTTTATTCACAATGAACTTCTTCAAATCAATTTATTACATGTCCATAAATTTATGATGTATTAAGTTTTCAGAGTTCAATGTATATGCAGTATCAAGCACTTTTGGGTATTTTTTCACTCATTTAGTGAGTGAGTAGTTCATCTAAAAACATAATTTTCACTGAGGATAACGTTCAAGCTTTGAGTTTCATTTTATTTGCTTATTTCATCCGACAGGTTGGGATTCGCTACAGTCTAATGATCATAGGAGACATATGTAGTTAGTTATAAATAATTGAAATGAAATCGCCAGTGAAAAAATGCTCTTGAATTCAGCACTCACTCAGTAAATAGACAGGAAATCCTCTGAAATGGTTTATATTACGCTTTATTTAACACTGATGAAAAGATGGCTAACATTACACTTGTAGTGACTCACATTTATCACGAGAACACGACTGGTTTAATAAAAACAATTATTATTATGACCAACTGTACCAGTGTTTGTTTTAACGTGCTTTTGTTTGACTGTGCTAATGACAGCTTTATTGTGCTTCCATTCTGATTCTTACACTTTGATTGTGACTTCGCGCGAATTCGGTTACGTTCTGTAACCAAGCTTGTATCCTGGCACGATCTCGATATCCTTTCGATACCACGAGATCGCCAGCGAATATATCTCGAATCGGTCCATTAATTGTCTTCTGATATTTGGCTTCTCGGGGATTTTATGGATTTATTTGGTTACGTTCTACCTTCGCCTTCTGATTTACTTGGCACGCGATTTCTCGGTAGCGGTGTTCATAGTCAATTTCGACCCGACGCCACGCTACACACTTTTATATGAGTTACTTATAACATTGAATCTCAAGTTAGTTTTGTAGTCGGATGCGGTTGTGAAAAAAAAACACAAATTTAATAGCTAAGTTTGTTCATGGTGAAAACTAAACCATACATTTGATAAATGTTAGTACTAACATTTAGTTAAAGACACAATTAATAGTTTGTACTCAACTAACGATTAAACTAATACGGCGAATATGTTTTGCATGTTGGTTTTATAATGGAATGTGATTTTTTGCACTGTTGGAGTGAACACTTGTAGAATGATGATATTTTAGTTGTGTTCGCATTGTATCATGATTGAACTGCAGAAATTATACTAGATATAACCTGCAAACAAAATGTATTTGTTGAAATACATTTGATTTAGTTGCATAGTTCATGTTGGTTAACCTTGATCTAGGTTATGAAATGTTAAACATATATTTCTTCAAAATTGTTGAATTTTATACCAACATTTGATTGCATCATAGTTTTACAATGTCAAATGTGACTTGAGTGAGTTATATTATGTCGACAACTATATTCACAACATCCAATCTATCTCACAATTACGACTTTGTGAAAATACGCATTGAAGAATAATAACTGGTGTGGCTCTCATCTTAAAATCAATAGCTTCATGTGAAATATTATTATTATCAAGCATACTAATATAGATTACAGTTCCGTGCAGTGATAAATTATAGCAACAATCCTACAACCAATTTCGATTATGGTTAATTTTGGTTAAGCCCTTTTATCAACTAACTTAACAAACAATGTTATTTGAACAGTAACAATTCGCATATTTCTTTGTGCCGTTATGATCGCTAGAGCACATGACACAGTCTAGCTAAAATGTTGATTGCTTAAATGTCACTCGATGATTCATCCTCCTCTCCATGTATATATGTGTTCAAATTCTATTATTAGCTTTGTTTTGGGGTTAATAAATCATCAAGTATACCAGCCTTTGTGTTCTCACTTTCTCGTCGTGAGAATTGCAGAGGTCCCTCGTTCCGAGTATAAGTGATAAGCGTTTCCGACATAACAATCAGCGAAAATCAGATACAAAAAGTAGCATTAACAGAGCCTAGACAATAAGCAATCAAACGACAAGTTATAACAAACTTTTGCTTTGTCTTGCTGTACCCTTTTGAAATTTGCCTATGTATTTATTTGCATATACTTATTCACTTCTCCGCTTCAAATACGTTTGATGTGCCTATAGCTTTGTGATCTGCGCTATCAGTTAATACACTGTGGTTGCCTCTTCTCTTTACCTTCTGATTGCAAACACCGTTGAGATTTATACTATAACGGTTATCAAGGTGATCGATTAACGAAGCAAAGCCATTACAAGTTCACATCAAAGCTGATACATTTACTCCTACTCGCAGTTAGATATTTCATCTATATTTTTGCTTGCTTTCTAGCGTTTCGTCTCGTTCATTAAGGTATTCACTAACTTCATTTCTTGAAAGCAATGAATGACAGATTTTATTTTGAATAGTTGACTAACACCTCCAGCAATCATTTAGTTATAAATAAAAATCAATATTTTAAAACTACTTGACAGAGCGAAATCCTGTTAAGTCAAAACTCAAATGATTACAAAAATGTAGTCAAGTCAGCATATTAAAAAGGATGATGAATTAATGCTAAGTTTCAGGGTTTGCGGTTTATGTAGTAGAATAACCATTAGTTGATTGATACAAGATTTCATTTGAAACCATTTCTCATTATCCACGTTATCATTTGAATGTTTCTCTACCTCATTAGAATATTTAAAAACTTCATCAGATAAAAATAAAATAAAAGTCAGTTTATTAACTGGAACATAATATTTTTCCTGTTATCAGTTAAATCTGTCATGCAATTTAACGAAGACAACAAAGCATATGGTCATAATTAAAAAAACAAAACCGCTTGTATGTTAACGAAGCTCGATTTCTACCTACCTAGAACAATAATCTGAGAAGTGAACCAAACAACCACTTTTGGTTATATCTCACATTTCAAGAAGGAATTTTCAGTGTTTCATTGTATCATTTTAATTTTTCTTTAATGACTGAATATCAATATCGATGATCACTGTATTGTTTCTCTTAAAACAATTCATTTATTCTGACTAGTTTCTAAATCCAGTTGTTGCATAACCATTGTGGTTGCAAAGAGCTCTTTGAAATCTAATGGTCTTGGTGATGAAAACAACAAATGTGAGTCTGTACCAGAATCACTGGATTCTGGTAAATTATATCAACTACAAATTGTTGCAGAGAGTTTGAATAATTCTTAACAGTTGTATGCATATAAAAATCTAGTTTCTTAGTAAAACATTGTCAACTTATTTAGCTGAACCTTTATGAGTTTGAGCAGCGGAGTTTGGGAAATTTTAGGTTCTCTGAGTACAGGGAGAATATAAATCGTGACATGTCATTTGATTATTATTTCCTAGTTGATAATAAACTAGATAATAAACTCTTGAATGATGATTGAATAAATGAGTTTTCCAGTTTTGCTGGAGAAAATCTGAGCCGATATATCAACATTGATGAATAGTTTAGTTGATGAATATTTTTAAGTTAACATCTACTTATTACCAAATCATAAAACACGTGGGTTACAAATTATTATCCATCTGTTGTGCTAGGATGCAACATAGATTGAATCTGAGCACTTTGACATTTTAATCGAATCATGTTGAAAAAATCAGATCGTGTGGAAGAAGTAGATAAACGGAGCTGCGACTAGTTCTATGAGAAAAACATAATTACTGCTTCTATCACGAAACCTATGTTCAAAGGTTAACCACTACATCTTCACGTTTTGAGTCATTTTTTTCAAAGATCATAATTTAAATACAAGTAGTCTGTAAACTGTAATGCCAATTATCATTTATCATCAATTTCACCGAATTCATTGTCTTGATAACTTATAATAATAACCTCTATTCACCTGTTAATGAGTTCTGACTATGACTAGAATACCGTAGATAATATAATATGCTCAATCAGAATATTTTCAAGATCTGTTATATACATTGTGAAATAAGTTAAGTTAAAACACATTTACATCGGTGTTATTACTTGTCACTATCACATTTTAATTAATATACAAAACTTAGGAGATACATTGTAAAATTGAAAAGTAGAACAACAACAACAACAACAACAACTTTTAATCAAATGAAAATGAACTAATACTATATGTGAATAATGATAAATTATGATAATACATTCCATTTCATTCATGAATTAGAAATTACAACTGCTTCTATATGATTTTGATTGATAAACAAAATTGTAATCATCATTCTCTATGCGAAAAACCTAAACATTTTTAGAAGCATAATTTACACTACAATTAACATTTTAAACTCAATTAAAATTGTAGTTCTTAATTTTTAAGAATTTATTCGAATATGCAATAAATGTTTAAATGCTTTAGCATATTTAGTATTACAAAATCCGTATATAATTGGGTTACACATACTATTCAAGTATGCTATCCAACCGGTAGCTATGAAAATTTCTTCAGAAAATAGACATTCACATGCTCCTTCCATTAAATATAAAGTGGTAAATGGAAGCCAGCATAAAATGAAACAACAAACTACAATTGCTACTGTTTTCACTGTTTTCTTTTCACTCTTGTATACAAGGCGTTTACTTCGTTCGTAAATCATACTATTGTGTGTGTTAGAATACTTCGGCTTGGAATTCACAATTCGTTCATTCTGACTGTTTAATCTGTGTTCGTGTTTATGTTGCTGATCGTCCTGCCGATCGTTCATAGAAGCGTCGACTGTTTTATTGATGGTATCTGTAGTTTGCAAAGTATAGATTTCTGTGTTCTCAATGCTATTGTGAATCGAAAATGTAGAAGAATCATCTGGATCAGATTTGGTCGTTGTATGCAACATTGATATTGGAGACATGTGTATATATTGTGTGTATTTACTAGAAGTTTCTGAGCACTCTCGCTCGATTTGTTCGGAACGCTTATTAGAGAATGGAGTGGACGAACTTTGACCGTGAGACTGATTTTCAGTATATTCTTTAGCAGTTTTACGTCTCTTACTGGGCGTATATGCAATAAATAAATTAGATTGTGTATAATTTGATACAAACAACTGACGCTGATTAGAGTTACGTGAACTGAAACAGTTCATTTTACGTCCAAAACTATGGTTATAAATATTATTCGGAATGAAAAGAAATTTAAATGATCCATATCTTTGCTCTTTCAGGTCTAATAAAATCTTTCCAGCTTTTATTTCATTTGAACGACGTCGAATCACGTAAAATATACGTATATAAATAAAGCCGATCAATACAAATGGAATGACAAATGTTGTGATTCCTATAAGAGATCTGTACACTATATCGCTTCTTATGTAACAACGTCCTACACCCGTATGGTGCTGAGTGCCGAAAAAACGGTGGTAACGTTATCAGAAACGACGAAATCCATACACCTCCAATCACGATTAACGCAGTGCGATGAGTTCGTTTCTTGACATATTTTAATGGATTAATAATGGAATTGTATCGGTCCACAGATATACAACATATATTTAATATTGATGCGGTACACAAGAACACGTTGAAAGAGAGCCAGTATATGCATAAATAGTGTGATTCATAGGGCCAATAGCCAGCGTTTTGTCGAACGATAAATAGTGGTATTAATAGAGTTGCGACAAGTAGATCAGCCAAAGCAAGTGACGCAATATATAGATCAGTTACACGTCTTAACATTTTAGTTGTGACAACAGCTAAAATGACTAGAAGATTACCACAAAATATAAAAATTGCAGATATGATTTGAATGAAGAAAACAATTGTATCCAATACGTTTCTCTTTTCACTAAACATTTCATTTTTCATGTTTATTAGATTACTATTGTTATTGAAGAAATCGGATTTTATGCTACATAACGTACAAAATGCAGTTTTATGAAATGTCTCCATTATGAATTTATTTAAGGCATAGTTGATTCATACTGATAGTTTGTAATGATAAACGTTTATATATCAATGGGACTGAATCTTTATCTGAAACAATTAAGAAATTAGGCTTTATTAGATGTTTCAAAATAAAATAATCTAGTTATTTGTCTTAGTGTAATATATCAGTTTTTTTCATTAACAAACTTATATGCTGACTATTCTTTTCAGTTTTTAATTTCATTCACATTATTCTCATTAAGTGTATTATAAAATGGATGTATCAATCAACATTCTATATAAGAACTCATTACAACTAATCCTCTATTTAAAGTCAAGGTGATTAGTAAGCAGTTAAACTCCAGTCTTCTGAAGTTTCCTGAAGCCGTTGCTATCAGGCGTCAAAAACTTGAATTATGCGTTCGAAAGGAGATTGTTATTAATTTTTCCTTACCTTGGTGACTAATATTTCTTCGTTGTATCTTAACATGTTGTTTGTTCATTTTCTTTAAACTCTTTCTTGCATTTGTTACATCATTGAGTTTTATTCCAACTATCTTCCAAATTAATAATCTTATTTTATCAAATGAACTCTGCTCATTTTATTCTTATCAATGTTTACTTGTTTCTAGCCCTTTGAACCGTTGTCACAATGTTCTTTTACATAAGATATATATTTACAATATTCAGTCTATTCGATTTATTTACACCCTTGCTATACTATACTAATATGTCTTCAATATAACTTCCAACTAAACCCTCTCATGTAAGTAATTTAAACCCATTATTATAATTTTAAATACCACAGGTTGTAAGCATCTGACGAGAACTGACAAGATAAAAATGAATCCATGCTATTCTGCTAGGATGTTTATTCTTGCTCTTTTCAAAATGATAAAGGGAACTATGTGTATGTAAATAATTGATTATAACAGAGTCAACAATTATGAAGATATTGTCTGTAAAAGTTGATGTATTTAATTCTATATCTATATCAATCTGTCAACTAGTAATATTCACTAGATAATATTTCAATAATATTTACATTTAGAAAACTTACTTTAATAGAAATTTATTACTTATCCACAAATGAAAACTTGAATCTATTTTGTGAATAAAAAAAAAGTATCTCACAAGTTGAAATCATGAGCCAATTGAAGCTAGACCATCATGGAAAACCTGGAAGCACTGGACGGCCGTTTTGTCTTAATTTTTTTCTTTTTAAAAAAAAATTTATAAGTAGATTTAAGTAGTTATATTAGATGATCAAAATAATTTGATATTTATCTTAATTTATTCTGCTTCAAATATGGGAAACTGATGTTTATTGAATGAAATCAATTCCTTTTTTCACGTTATTTAAATATAAACAATTGTGTATTTTTATTGTCTTTTCAAACATAAAATGTATCCTCAAATATTAATCAATAAATGGTTTCACTGTTTCATTACATAATACACATTTTTTTTTCCTCTTTTAATACTCATCAACTGTAAAACAAAATCCTTTTAGTTTCTATTGAAATCAATATGAATTATGTAATAGCTATTTTAATGAATTTGAAATATTCTATTACTTTCCTTGAAAAAACTTGAACCAAATTACCAGGTGAAACGTTGGATTTACTTCATAATTCTTTTGCTAAGATTTTACAAATACATTCTTTCTTTTTAATTCTATAAAATAGTTTGCAGTTGAAGTTTTAACAAATAATGTAAAATGTCATTATTGAATAATAATTTATTTCAAGTTGTTTGTTTGTTGATGTATATCTAGTTTACTAGTGTTTAAACTCTTATTATTAATATTCTTTTTCTTTTTCTTTTTTTTTTGGTTTTCTATTTACTAACTGTCAAATTATTGTACCAATCAGAATATATTTATTCACTTCTTTATTTAATTAATAATAATTATAAATAAACAGTTGAAAAAGAAAACAACATCAAAATAGTGACATTCATTTAGGGACTAAAGAATTAAGTTCAAAACATTGTGTTTTCTATTGTTTATGGTTGTGTAATAGGTTTGTGGTGTATGCTACAGATGTCAACAGAAGGCAATGAGTAGGACTTCTCTGGCAGTGGTTGTGTGTTGTGCGCTACTTATATACACATAAGTAGTATAGAACGATAGTCAGGAATAGAATATGTTTCAGTAAAAGATCGAGAAGGAAAGAACGGGAACGGTAAGTAATCAGTATGAAAATACACGAACACGGAAATCTGAGACGATGAAAAGATATTTGCAAAAGAAACGATCAAGTTTGAGATAATGGATTTATATTTTTAAGCGAAGGTGGATAGTGGTTAGCAGTGGAATTCAAGACACGCGTTTTGTCCTATTTGGGACTCGTCAGCTGGACGTACCTGCATCGCAGAGTTTATGTTCCCTCTGGGACTCGAACTCAGTACTGTCCACTTCAAACACTATCGCGTTATCCATTAAGCTACTAAGTCCTGATGGTTATTAAACCCTCAAATTCTGACATTTTGTTTAGAAAGAATATATACATTTACATACGATCAAGATTAAGCATGTCCACGTAACACATAATCAAAGTATCTCAACTAAACAATGAATTGAAATATAACTCATCAGACATTATATTAAATCACAATTTCATTTGAAACTTCAACCTTCGTAAAGCGTCAACGTTTAACTCTACATGAATTGTTTAAATTAACTAACGAATTCTCGATTTCTGAGTTTTGCAATATTGTATTATGGTATGTGCTACTGATGTCGACAGATATAATTAGCTTTTCATTAGTTGAGAAAGAATGTATAAAGGCAGACGGTTAAGAAGACCAAAGAAAAGATAACGAGAATAAAGAATGATTGATGTGGATACAAAAGGACAATCAAGTCTGAAACAATTGATTAACATTTTACAAATGAACAATTAACTGTACGGTTCCTAGATTTTACTAAGATATTCTGTAATTTTGTATTCGAATACATTCGATTTTCCCCACTTGTGTTCTCGTCTACATCCAATAACTTGTTTATTCACAACATGAACATATTTTAGCAGTTCGGCATTATTCTTATTATTAGTTCGACAACATTTATTCATAATGAAAATATCCTGCATAGTTTTAGATTTTGAATGTTAACTCCAAAAGTGTTTCAATAGATCGCTATAAGCTCTAATTCGAAAACATTTCGAATTCATCATATTTTTTTCAGAAAATACTGTTTTTAGATTTTCATATCCATTTCAACTAATGTGAACAGATATTAGTATCAGTTAATTTATCATTATTAATTATGCAATCACCAAATTGTTTGCACTTGGTTACATGGTAAGCAAGTAAAATGTTATTGAATAAATGGATATGTTTACATGTATTATATTAAGTTTAATAACTAGGTTTGTCAAATCATACCATTTTTTGAGTGGAATCAAATTAATTAAAAGCAATATGGACGGAAAAAATTCAGATTTTAAATGAAACCTTTAACTCTTAAAAAATTCAGGATGAATATATGTTAAACTATCTCAATTCACAGAAATATGCTTTAATTATGGATTTCATTCTAAAAAAAAATCCAAAGACTTTCTAAAGGTCATTCAGAATTCTGGCTGAAAATTTATTATTCTTAAAATCCAATAATGACAATATTGAGCTAAAGTAACAATCAGTCAACATGTACATCTATGTAAGCAATACGTCATTACTTTTTATTTGTATATTTACTAGACGATACACGGGAAACATTTAATTACCTGTTCGAGTACATGGTTCGTTTGATTTGAAAAATAGTGTAGTTTAGATTCGTATCAATTTACATCCATTTCAAATACTGATTTCAGTTTTAATTACCCACTTTCTAAACTAAATAGTATCAAGGGCATCACTCATTAAAAAAGACGTCTTTGAACAAATTGCAAATTCGTGTCACTGGAGTTGTTGAGATGATAGAAAAGATTTGTGACTTAGGTGGATGCTTATTGTGGAGTTTCGTTCTCTGAGCTCTATGGCTTGATCGTGGAGCTTTTTTATTGTTTTTCTGAAAATATCATCAACACAAACTTACATATCAGTGGACATAAGCAATTTTGAGCATAAATTAGATCGGAAAAATGTTGAAATTCTGAACAGAGAAAATAATAAGAAGCTTGGCAATCAGTAATCAATAAACATATTGAAATGTATCCAATTTACCAACCAATCAGAAATATCATGGACAAATATAGGATCATAAATCAGGTCATAA